CCCCAAAACCCCAAAACCCCAAAACCCCAAAACCCCAATGATCTTTTAATATCTTGAAAACTTAGTATTACTTTTTACCTACAAATAGAGATAATACATCATTTAAAGATAATCCTTTGGTTTCAGGAATCTTGAAATAGACAAATACAACTCCAAGCAGAGAAAACACAAATATCAACAGAAAAGCAATAATATCTCCAAATGGAACATCCTTGATCAAGCTTAAAAAACTAATTGAAACAAGGAAGTTAACAGCCCAATTTGTGGTGGTTGCCATACTGTTTCCCATCCCTCTTAGATGAAGAGGATAGACCTCAGAGTTAACTGTCCAAGGGGTTGGGCCCATCCCGATAGAAAAAGCTGCTAAGTAAAAGAAAAGCCCTCCAGCAGCACACCACTTTCCTACTTCTTGGAGTCCAGTTTGATCTGGATCAGTATGATTCCTGAGCCCCATCCCGAGCCCAATGACTCCCATGAAAAATCCAATCAATGGAAGCGATCTAAGCATAATCCATCTTCTTCCGAATCTATCAATAAACATCAGCGCAATGAAGCTACCTAGAGCGTTCATTCCAGCGAGAGGAAGTGTGCTGATCAAGGACTGGCTTTTGTTGTTGCTGTTTCCAAACCCAGCGACTTGCATTATTTCTGGACCGTAGTACATTGCTGTGTTAATTCCACACAATTGTTGGATCATTTGAAGCCCACACCCAGCTATGATTCATGGACGGTATTCATAAATCAAAGAACATAGATTATCAAAATATCCTTGGTCGGTTTCTCCATCAACTCTCAAAGCTTCAGTCTTTTGCTCATCAACGATATCACTCAAAGATGAAGCTGGGGCATTATAAATTGAGCAAAGCACTTTGTTTGCCTTTTCTTCCTGATGAGTCTTGTATAGCCACTTCGGAGTTTCATGCATTCACAGCTAAATGTGATTACTTAGCTTACCATCCCAGCCAGTTGAAGTGCAGAAGGAACAGCTGCGAGTCCGAGCATCCACCTCCATTTATCTCCTAGTCAAAGACATATCACCAGTGAAATGAACTGTGCGCTCGTTATCATGATCACATTGAAGTTGACGATCACGCCTCTGATATGTTTTGGTGAAATCTCAGCCAAGTACACTGGAACCACCATGGCAGCCACTCCGATTCCTATGCCTACAACAAACCTCCCAAAGATCAGCCAGAAGATATTAGGAGTAAATGCCATTAAGAGACAACCCACTGTGAACATGATGTCTGCGATAATAATGGTAGGCTTTCTACCGTATTTGTCAGCAATGGGGCCTCCAAAAATAGATCCAATAGCTGCACCTACAAGAGCCATTGAAACGATTAATTCTTTCTGGAAGTTGCTAATATCAGGAAATTCATTATCAAAATAAAGATTTGCACCAGCAATGACACTGGTATCGTACCCAAACAAGAACCCTCCAATTGCCGAAACGAAGACAAGTGTTCAAAAGTAGAGTTTGTCAACTCCTCTTTCCTTCTAAATTATTGAACCTGACTTACATGTGAAATTAAGCTTGCTTCCATTTCAAAATCCTCCATTTCTAGAATTGGTTATGACAACTTTATTGATCTTCAAAATTCTGTTTTATTTTGGGGTTTTGGGGTTTTGGGGTTTTGGGGTTTTGGGG